AAGTTAAGAAAACGGCCTGAGAAAGTTGGTTTATGATACCAATCTGATATGATTTTATTCTCATTTTTTATAAGAACCAAGTCCAAAAAACTGAGTGAGTCCCCCCCTATTTCGATAGTAAATTTAATTCTAGGATGATAAGAATTAAATTGATTATAAACTTCATCAATGTTATTATTATCCATAATAAAAAGTAAGTCATCCACATATCTAAGATATAAGAGTGGAGAAAAAGAAAGTTTGCTGATAGAATATTTTTCTAGATCCTGCATAACAATATCAGATGCAATAGGAGACAATGGTGAACCCATTGGAACACTATAAACCTGTTTATAGTACTTATTATTAAAAGTGAAAAAAGTGGAATTGAGAACTAATTTAAGAGCTTTAAAGAATTCCGATTTCGGATTCTTTACAGTTAAACTTTCATTTAGATGAACAAGAATTAATATTTTAATGACATCTTATATATAATCATTGTCTCCAAGATTCATATTGATAAGGACCCGAATATAGGGTCGAAACGTTTATGTATTTAATTAATTTCATATTAAAGAATTTTTGTTACACACGAATTACTTGTGTTGGCTCTTATATGGCAAATGTTTATATGTTGTGTTGATTTATCACAAGAGCCTATATATATTATATTGTTTTATTTTAGAAACATCTGTTTACACGGTACTGGTTGTAATAAAAATCAGAAGCGTCTGTTCAGACGGAAATAATTTTCGCAATTTTTTAAAGATAGCCGAATAAACGTTGGCGTGCCGGGATTGGAAACTGCTTGGTAAACACCCCGCGTCCCGCACACCGCCGCGAGCCGCTAAACGTCAAGACTCGAAAGCGCGGTTGCCGGTGGACGGCGCGCTTACCAGGCTATCCCCGCCCCCAGGCAGCGGCCCACACGCTATACGATTCGTGAGATGGACGTACATATACGCTCAGCAGTAGTAGGCCGCGCGAACGCGTGTTTATATATGTATAATATACATAAAACATGATTTTATTTTACCAGACACTTGAAACAGAAAATATACTGACAATGTATTTGTACAATCTGAAATAACAAATATGTCAACAGTATATGCTAAATATCAAGTGTTCTTTCGGATAATAAACACAAAAGTCAACAAATTTGTCAATACTTTATTTGTCGTGGTCAAAGATACAATGTTTAAAAAATCAAAACTTTGAACGAAAATTCCGAAAAATTCTGTACGCTAAATTGGATCAAATTAAACATTTTTTGTCTCTTCGACTTTTTTGATAAAATCAATAATTTTGGAGATAGAAAATGTCAGAGCTTAAAAAATGACTAGATTTACGACTTTCGTTCTCACGAACTAATTATCCAATCAGCACGAATAAAAAACGAAAATGTTCGGCCAATCTTAAAGAGAATTTTTTTTATTTTAACCATAAAAAACCTTTTTTTAAAGAAAGAAAAAAACATACGCCAAGTGCATATAAAAGATACTGAACTTCTTGATCAAAAACAGATATGAGATAAATATAATTGACCAAGTGTATTCTTCATTACGCCAGTCACATAAGACAGACCAAAAGTGACTATAATTGTCAACTGGATTATAGTGAAGAAAAAACTTGGCGTGCCCGGGTCGCATTAATTGTAAACAGTATTCAGTAAAAACATTATTTCAACATAGTATTTGCATTATAAATTAAAATA